CAGGAATGAGCAACTTAATTCCATTTACAGTTTTGAGTTACCTTCGCTTTTCTTTATTCTTTTACCTCTTGGGTGGTCATTGCACCATGCTCACCCATCACATTATGCCACTATACAGTGCATATGAACTGAAATACATGTGGCAGTTCTTTAACATCTTCATCAGTTATGACAGCTTTTACTCAGATAAAATATCCATTGGCTTTGTTGACTAGTGCTTTACCTAGTAGATCTCTGTCTCTATGTTTTCTGAGCAGATGCATGGCTCAGCTCATGGTATGCTATGACTATGTAAGAGAATGGAATGAACGGAAATTAGTACATGCCCTTGAGCCTTCAGAGAAAGTCACAAATCCTATACACTTGAGCCTGTGCGATTTTGTACCCAGAAAGTCAGAGTTATAAAGGCAAGTGAAAGAAACTGATTACTATGGAAAAATAATAGCAATCTATTTCACTGGTGATGAGTACATACTTTAAAGGAAATTCCCATACTGGGTTGAAGAGTTATGAAATAATCCTTTCTCTGGGAACTTGCTGATAACCGAGTACTCTATTTATATCCTGAAACAAGAGATTTTATATGCTTTGCTAATTTTACTCTTTTTCATCAATTATATGCTGTCAGATGTAATTATGTGTTTTCATTATCTATGGAGGTATGTTACTTTTTCTTTCTAATTTCACAAAGTTCCTGACCTTAATAGCATCTTGTGGCAATGAGTTCCACGGATCACTGGACCTTTGTGTGAAACATTTTCCTTTCATCAGCTAAGTGTTTCAACACTAGTGAATCCCTAGCAGCATGGATTTCTTGCTTTAATGCAGCCTCTAGAATAGTCCTTAGGAATATGTTCAAGCAGAGCTGAGGGGGTAATAGGAAGACATCAGTCTAAAAAAAAGTGATTCATACACTACTTTGTGTATTATTTATTCATTCCATGTGGCCAGTATCTTTAGACAGCAAACAGTGTAAGCCTGACCTGCGTGGAAAGAGAGAGATCCAAACACTGTAGCATCACCCAAACAGTAGAGTAGAAGCCCCATTCTGGCTGGAATAATACTCTGAGAAAGTGGAGTCAGTAAAGATATACAAGTGAATCTCCTATACAGTATGCAGAAGGCTGCTAAAAGGCACTTTCTTAGCTCTGCAAAACACTCAGATCTTAAAAAGGAATCACACTTTACCATAAACTCCTTTAACACCTCTTGATTCTCAATCCGCAACTGAAGGCCTCGAATAAGACCTGTGATGCCAGTCCTTGGAGCTATTCCAGTCACTGATGGTTTAAAGTTAATTAACTGAGTCAGTTCATCTCCAGAAGCAAAGGTTCTGCCTATATAGCAACAAAACAATAAAGCAGTTTTTAATTATTAGGTTTCATAGTGCAAAGTCTTGGCTTTAAAAACTAAGAGGCTGCAGTACTTCAGTACATTTTGATGCTTATATTGTGAAAGTGAAATATGAAAAAATATTTCTGGCTTACTTATGTTCACAGCAAGAATAAGTCGTCAGCACCATGGATACAACTAGCATCACCCCTCAAGTAACTTGGAAGCAGATCCAACTACTGCAATTTATTGCCTCATACAGTTTCTAAATTCGGTCTGTTCTAAATAAACTGTTCTGGCAGAATTGTAAACTTTAAGGTTACTTTAGTTTGGTATAGGAGACTCTGGCCACATCTTCACAGGGAATGATCTCCATGTTTCCAGTACTTTCCTGAAAATTAGTATTTCCACACCCCACTGCTAGGAATAATCACTGTAAATTCTTCCTCCCAGAAGTAAGAAAATATCTTCTGTTCTTTTCATCTTACCTCACACTTCTCTTCAAGAATAAGATGTGAAGTATCTTTGATGCACTGAAATCAGTATTCCGTTTTACTAATTAGCTCATCCTGAAGTATATGTTCTGATTCAAAATTTGACAGATTAAGAAGATGGATAAACATGTATATCTCTAGAAATATCACTACTCTAATGGAGCAATTCAAAAGCTTTTGTTACCCTGTAGAGTAAAACCAGTAGCTAGTCTGGTAAAAAACAGTTGTTTGAGGCAGAGGAATTATGGAATTTGTCCTTTTAGTTATAGGCTACTGTTGGCAAAGAATAACATCCCAGCTGTCTCAAAGCAAGCCTGGTGATCTGTTCCACAGGTTTGTTGTAGGCTGAAGACAAGGATCAATGCTCTGTTTTCCTCTTGTAAAATTTCATTACTACTCTTGACTAATCTTCATCAAAAAATTGTTGTGCTTGCTGTGCTTTTGTCTGGGCTACAACTTGTACCTGAGCTTCTAAGACACTTTCTGTTCATTTTCTGTTCCCTAATCCTTACAGATGTGAGGGTATTTCTATTAACTATTTGAGTACTAGTGAAGACAGATCCTGTGTTCCAGAGTGTGCTATTTCCCATACACCTCTCTCTCCTTCCAGATCAAGTGGAATAAAAACCCCAAACTTTGAGCAGTTAGTAGAGGATAGATTGGTTATAATTTTCTGTTTGCTAGCCAGCACAGCTTGGTAGTGTGAGTGAGATAACCGTGATTTACTGCTGATAAAAGCCATCAGCAATTCATTGCTTCTACAGAGCAAGAAGCAGGGAGAGACCTGTATTCAGAGAATCTATGGGATACTGCAGCATCCTCAGCATGAATCCTTTCACAAATTATTCTTGTTTGGGGCAGAAGCAGCTTAGTTTCCTATAGGAACAACTAGGCAGATTCTTTCTGTAAACTGTCTTCTGGTATCAGAGGAGCTTTAGCACCTGAGCTGGGAAAGTGCTTCAATATGTATTTAAGCACATCAATTCTAAAAGTTTAAATGAATTTATTATACGAAATGAAATTCAGTGATTCTGTGAACAAAGTCTTGAGATAGAATTTGACCCTTTCATTCTACATTTTTGTGTGTTTCATTTACTTTTTTGAGGAGTGTGGGAACAGTAGAGGAGAATTATTTCAAAAGCCTATTGCATGCAGTGATAACAAGCACATTTTGTAGTATGTTCCTGGAATTTGTTTCATTAATTCTCAAAGCCCTCTTTGTCATTTCTTTTCATATATGAAAAAGGCCTTCTACTACATCCAGTTGGTAAGATAATCTGTCTGATTTGATTTTATTCATTTTGGGACAAACTAAGAATTTCAGATTTTCAGTTATGCACTGGGAAGCTCCCACCACCAATTTGTGTCTGACCCAAATTGTAATGTTAATTTTTTTGCTCAGCCACTGAGCCAATGCATAATTTCTTTACATTATCCAATAGTGCATGATTTGAATAAATGTCATGATGTTGCTTAAATAAATTCAACAAATTTCTTTTCGTCTTAATTGTTCAATTTGTATACTAATTGAGTATAATCAAGGTATTCAGAGATTTTCCTTTGGGGAAGAACATGATATATAACATAAAAAAAAAAATTTCCAACCAAAAACCAAAACAAAAGACACAAAAAATTGCACATATTTTTGAAACTGGAGTTCCAAAGCAGAAGTGCTCAGAGCAGTGATGAGTGGGTGAGGGCCAAAAGAGCTGCCCTCCCTGGATTCAGTTAACTACGTTCAGACTCATGTTTCTTCCTTCTTGAAGTTCTCCGAAAGAGCTGGAGAGACCCTGAGGTAGGCTGCCTTCTTGTGGATGTTGCAATGCTTTGATGGCCTTCGTATGTATCAATAGTAAAAACTGTGTCCTGACTACCCTGGTCTTTGAGACACAAAGAGCAAAATCTTAGCTTGTATACAAGGGATTAGTGTTGTTCTCACTGTACATATATGGAGGAGCTGGTCTATAACATTAAAGAAACAAGAGAAGTTTTTGCATGGTTACTTTCATGTAGAGCGGAAATCCTGTGGGGCATATCATCATCTTCATTGTTCCAGCTGTCTGACTCAGACTGCTGACTCTCTGTTCTGCAGCCTTCACATTCCACATATTTCTGTGACCTGTAAAACAACATGAGTTGAGTGGCCTTATGGAAGCAGCAGAATCTTTGATAATCTAAACTATACAAAGGTTTTATTTTTAATTAATTTTTGGTCACTTATAGCTTTCTTGAGCAAATATTTTCAAGAATTAGTGTGAACTCTGAAGAACATAAGTTCAAGGAATAATAGTAGCATTGTATCTGGAGTGGCGTTTGCAAATACAGCTAGTGAAAAACACTATCATTTGTATGTGGTAATTTATTTTTTCAAAGAAATAAGAACATACTTTGTATAAAAAGCTGCCTAAAAAATGATTGTATGTTAGGTTTGTCACAGTTATAGATAATTTTTCATGTATGACTTTTTCAGTTGTTAGGTAATCATAGGCTTTGCTTGTTACTCTTTCCTGAAGTATTTAGAAAATTATAGAGCATTTAAATATGTTTCAGGTAGAAGATATGTCTGCAATCTAGAATACAACTATAATGTGGGCAGAATGAGTCAAATATTTTTCTACTGGTTAACTCTGACACCCTTAGACCTAACATTTAACTATATTAACTATGTTAGTAGGTTTAAGCATATCACAGTCTTACATTATCCTACATTATGCATGATCATAATACATAATGTTAGAAATAGTAAAAGGTACATTTAAGAGGGAGAATAAGATAATATGTATCAGCTTTGCAAATATCAGTAACCACTGCAGGCTGTGCAGAAAAGTTACAGAAAAGTTTTGCAAGCAGAAAATAGAAATATCAAAAAATACTGGTAGTAAAAAGATTCAGATTACATGACAGGAGCCAGAAAACCTGCCTATTTGCAAAACAACCAGAAAAGATACTCATCCCTATATATGATATTATTACTGTATTAGCCATAGATGCATTTATACATATTGCGCACAGAGCAAGATAATTTAATGCTAATCGCACCTAATTACCTGGTATATCACAAGATAGTGTTATATTAGCAATGAGACAATAGCAAGTGGCACTGAGGCTATGTTCACATGGATGTTCTCACTTGCAGCTGCTCTCAAAGCTTCTTTCAAACTTTATCACTGCAAGCAGTTAAGTTAGGGAAGATTTTCATCCGTAATTGATTGTCCAAGTGCTACTCTTACAAAATATTAAGTTCTAAATATAAACATTTATTCCTTTTTTCCATTTTTGTGGATTATAAGTGATAAAGAAAATGATCACATTTCATATAATCTACATCATTGTAATAGACAAAACTGCCCATGTCTTATCAATGCTCTGCTATTCTTTGATTTCCCACTGTACTGTAGATTTACAGTTTACAGAAAAATTCTTCTCTTCTTGTGCTATGTACTTTCTTTGGAGTAGCATACTCAAATTCTCTTGATTCCCAGATGTCTGGAGTTCAACATCTATATCACTACAGCCACAGTAGCACAGGGTTCAGCCAGGGCTGTAAGACCTATTTGGAACACTTAGTAAAACCCACAGGTACCCTGCCCACACCAGCGCGATAGTGCTACCACTCTTCTCTCCTCCTCAGCTAGAAAGGCTAAAGCTATCTTAGGCAGGTCTGCATGAGCTGTTACATCTAGAAGCTTACGTTTCATTTGTCTTAGTAGTTGTGTGGAAGCTGTTTAGCAACTCTTACTGCAGATGGAGCTGCTTTGCAATGGAACTGAATTTCTATCATTTGGGACACATGAGTGCATTTGCATACCATACTAGGACAGCTCTGGAAATACAAGAATAAATTATCCATACTATTTATTTTAATAGTTTTACTGCATTTGAAAGACTTACCTGTCTGAAATGTTACTGATGACATCCTTATAGTCTTGTCCAGCCAGCTGACCTTGCACAGAGGAATTGTATGTACTTTCTGGATCCTGCAGGTTTAAAATAAGAAAAAGCTGTGAAAAATCAGTACACAGAAACATCAGGAATAGTTAATTTCATCAATATTCTTTCTCATATCTGACAAAAATGTGTCCTTCATTCAAGAAGGAAAGGGAAATAGAATACTTCCCACTTTCATAAGAAAGTATGTAACTTTGATTCAGCGTTGCAGTATCTACTAGTAGTAAAAAGCCAAATCAGCTGTATTTGTGAATTTCACAACAATACAGTGTTCAGACATCTCTACAACTTCGCATGCATGACTAGACTTTGAAAAGGTTCATGTTAGTTATATCCTCTCTGATCTCATAAAGAAAATGCAATCACAGGAATCATGAGTCACACTACTCTCCACCTCCCAGTTCTTGGCAGCAGAAAGCTCCAGTGTCTGAGATGGAACGGTTGGTATTAATTTCCTTTTTTTATCTGAGACACAGTGGTGCCAGCTGTCAGAAGCAGGGTGCAGCTGCTTTACTGAAGATGCACATAACTAACAGAGAAGGCAGACTCTTGATCACCCTCCATCTGCAGTAGAAGCAATAGTATTGGTGACTGGTTTTCTGTCCCAGAGGATGATAACTGACTCCTGCATTTAAATAATGATGCAGGACATCTGCCGCTAGTGTGTGGAAGTGGCTCCTTCTCAGCTGTAATACTTGATAGATAATTATTTAAATTTTAGTTCAGAGTTTCTCCTTTCCCTGCTTAATATTCCAGATGCACTCAGAAACCACCCTGGCACATTACATAGTATAAACTACTGAATGCCCCACAGAATCTTAACGGTACCTGTCACTTTTACCTTATTTTCTTACTTTCGTGCTTGTATTTCTCCGTGAGAATAGGCGAAATTATGGCTGCCTGTTTACTCAGTTTATGCACCTACTGTCTACACTGGCTGGAGAATGCCACACAGATTTTTGTTTTCTATTTGCCAAGGAAAGGTATTTTACTGCTGCTTTTTTGCATCTGTTTTTTTCAGTAGCTTGTCAATTTCAAAGTCTACATCTTTGGAGTAGATGGCAGCTGTGCTCTATAAAGTAAAGCTTAAATAGTTTCTAATAATAGCAGACTGCTAAAGGCAAGCTAGAAATAATGAAGAGAGAATTAAGGGAATCAATTCAGCAAAAAAAATTAGCATGTGCTTAAAGTTAGGCATGTGCTGTGCTGAACTAGACAGAATTAACCACATGCTTAAAACTATATTTGTGTCTTAATACCTTGCAAACTCAGGGATCTAATATGGAATCAGTAAACTTAGTACTGTCGCCTACTTCTCATTGGTATTATTTCTCGGGTGTACTACTTTGTCAGATCATACACATGACCTCATTTGGATATTACATTTTACCAATCTCTAACAGTTTAGTTCCACCACTCATTCCAACAGTGTACTTAAAACTTCTTCTGACAAATTCCTCTTCAAGGTTTTCTCAGCTTATTCACATCAAGGATTTCTTCATTTATTTTTCTAGTTTGATTATATTGGTTGAGTCAGGTTTTGTCTTTTTTTATTTGTTCTGGAGGATAAGAAGATGTATATTTCTCATATTTTCTGAGGAGAGCTTTTACATTTGTAAACTTAGAAATAATACATGCTGTAAAATTTGACATTGAATGTCTTGCAGGACTTACTAAGATTCAAAAACATAACCATGTTTGAAGAAGTTTGTGTGCCTTGGAGTTATGAATATTAGTGGAAGACAGTTGAATAGAAATCTTTTAAAGTATATTGTTTTAAAATACTGAAAGAATGGTAAAGTTAATAAATCATTCATTCCAATATTATAAAGCACCAGAACTAGACTTGCATATGCAACCTTCCTTCCCCCCACTCTTTTAGCGTACATACTATACTAATCATATGCTCTTATCTCAGTGAAATCCCCTGACTCATTCAACTGTTAGCAATTCCAGTCAATGCAGCACACTTCCCTCACATTAATCTTTTTTCATTAAGAAGGTGTGGTTCTTGCCAGAATTGCAGCAAACCCATTTTGTAAACAAACATACACGTACATTGCCTGGTAACTTCTAGAAGCCTGATTCAGATTTTACCTTGGTGCAACCAGTCTGGTTGGATTCTTCTTCTTCCTTGAAAGTGAAAAGAGGCTGAGCTCGCAGGCTTCCCTCAGCACTATCTGAATACCAGAAAACAAAATCAAAGTAAAATGACTATAAAGCATGAAAATATAGATCCATCTCTTTTGTGCAACCCACACCAGAAGACTTTGATTTTGGAAGAGGCACTGAGATACAGTGCCAGAAACTGACATGGAATATCGGTTTCATGGATGCTCTGAGAGGGTTAGTACAGCACATATGCTGTATATCACCACTGAAGAAGTCAGGGTAATTCACTTTGCCAGAGGATACACCGAAGTAGACCCCTGTATCAACAGCAGTTATGAAAAACATGAATCAGAATTTAAACCTCCCCTCCCTAACACAGCCCATTCCTTTGCAGTGCTAAGGGACAAATGCCGTAGATTAACGTTGATGTTAGTGCTTCTGTGATACCATTGGGTTTTGCTGGTCCAGGAAAAGTGATACCATTGGGTTTTGGTGGTCCAGGAAAACAGTTTAAACTTTCCAGAAGCTGTGTAATTCACTAATGTCATGTTAGATGCAAATAAATGAGCCCCCAGCTAGTTCCTTGAATATGCAGAGCTGGAGAAAAGGCTAGTCTTGCTGAAGTGAACGGGAATACTTCCACAGCCCTTAACAGAACAAGAGCGCCAATCAGCCTTTTTGTAACTGGCCATCCTTGCATTTTTTTTGCATCATTAATCCCCAAAATTAAACTAGAAAAGAGACGGGGCAATGAACATCCTCCTTCCAGGTGGTACTGAGCATAGTTTTCTCATCCTTACGGAAAAGATTTGTTCTTGAAGCACATGGGGTATCTTCCAGCAAGTGAAGGAGTGTCCAGTGCTTATGACATAGGCTAAGAGTTCTAGAGGATTAGGTTTAGTCTAACACATACTGAAAAAGCTGAGATCCTTGAACCCTGGAGGCAGCTGTTGCCTAAGAGCAGAATTGCCTAAGATACCTATGCAGTTAAGTTTGCATCAGTAAAGATAACTAGATGCATAAATGTTTGCTGTAAAATATGTCTGTCCTGGGTTAGGCCAGGACAGGGTTAATTTTCACCGGAATCCAGGAAGGGCCACAGCCGGGCGGGCTGACCCCACCTGGCCAAACAGAGCAGGGTATTCCATAACATGTGCCGTCATGCTGGGTTCTGGTGGGGGGTAGCTGGGCGGCGGGAACTCTCTCGCGGCTTGGGAGCGCGCAGCGTTGGTCTGGTCTGGGAGAGCGACTCTCTGGGTTGTGTGGTTTGTGTTGTGTTTTCTCCTTATCTGTATCGTTGTTGTTCCTGTTCCCCCTGTTTGCTGTTCTGTTAAACTGCCCTTATCCCGACCCACCAGTTTCTGCTTGTCTCTTTCCATTCTCCTCCGCACCCCGGCAGGGGGAGGGGCGGCCCCTTGGTGCTTATGTTGCCAGCCACAGCCAAACCAGAACATTAAATTTGGTGCCCAAGCGTGGGGCGGGGATAACAGCAGGGCCGAGCAGCATGTGTTGAAACAGCTTTCTTAGATTTTGTTAAAATTTATTATACGCATTTACCGTGTTAGTTTAACAGTTGCCGGTAAAAATGTTTCTGACTGATCAAATGTCTCTGCTACGTAAACCCTTACTTGCTGTATGTGTTCGCTGCCGTGCTGTTTATTACCTTGGGGAAAAACATCAGGATGACGATTTTGCTGTACGGTATGATATCAACTTATGACATGATAACATCACTGTACATCAAATTAGGATTGTATTTGCATGTGGCACTGTGGTCATTTCCATACCTCGGATTCTATGTCTTAGAATTTGTTAATAATCGAACCCAGCCTGTGGGGAAAACCGGAGGGGATACCTTCCCCCACTGTTTCGCCCCCCCTCCCTCCTTCAGGCTGGTCCTAACAGCTTTTGAGAATTTCGAGTACCCATGGGATGCTCAGGCCAGCACTCTCCAACTGTTCTGCCTCCTGAATGGGTTGCAGGTTTTGTTTAGTGTTAAACAGGCAGTTAAGAACATCGTGCAGAGACCTGCCCCGGGGCTGGATAGCTCTGAGTGGCTGGGTGTGTGGGACAGCATGGGCAGGTGTCTAGGACAGTGGGCACCCCCAGTTTCTTTGAAACTCACCCCTGAACAAGTGCAGAATCTGGACAAACTAGTAAAATATCTGCAAAAAGTGTGCTGCCACCCTGGGAACTCCAGAGAGACACAAATCACCGCAATGTGCTGGGGTCTCCCCCATGCCTACTGAGCCCTGTTCAACCTCATTCAGCGCCCTAAAGGGGAAAGGGGGGGAAACGAAGCGACAGGCACTGCGACTGGCGCTGCCCCTCCAGCTGGCCCTGCAGCCCCTCCAGCCCAGCAGGCAGGCACAGCCCCCCCGACCA